TTTCTTCCTCCTAGGTAAGCTATTTTGCCTCCACAGTCCAAGTTTCCTCCTGGTTGCATTCCTCCTTCCAACGCTCCCTCTCAATGGTGACTCTGCTTCCTCCTCCTAGCTATGACTGTGGCCTCCTCTGAAGCTTCCTCTTGGCCGCCACCCCCTTTTTATTTTTCGAATGAAAAGAATGGTACCAGGAAGAAGAAAAAAAATTGCGGGCTGGTTCAGTTGGCGGCAACGCCCGAAAAACTGCTCATCTCCGCTGTGAGTTGTTGTGCCCTTGGACCTGGAAGTTGGCTGAACTTGGTTGCCTTTTGACTTTGCAGTCGTAGAGCAATGTCGACTCTTGACATTGCCCGAACGTTGGGTTTGGGCATAGGGCGTTGGACTTACCGTCTGCAGTCCTCATGGCACCCCTTGAGAGGATGTGGTTGCGTCCCCCCAGAGCGAGCCCTTGTAAATTTTGTAATACACTTCCCTCCAACGACACTAACATACATTGCCATGGTGGTATGTGATGTGTCTGGTTCTGGTGCGTTGTCTTAACAACCGGCTTTGTGATCGTTGTACTGCTGGATGGGGTCAGCACGCCGTTGTGGCAGGTATATGGCCGTCAACATTGTTTACACTTCCCGTGAGTATGCGTTCGTTGAATCTATTTTTTGAATTGTTTTCAAGTCCGTTTTTTTTTTTTTTGGTCATTGGTCAGATGGACCACAGATCAGATATTAAACTGATCAGAACAGATACAGTGTGCTTGATCTATTTTTATTTTTTCAGCCAAAAGGCCGAGAAAGGAATTTCAATTTTTTTGAATTTTTTCAAGTCCTATTTGTTTTGGAAAAGGCTGAAAAGCACCATTTTTCATTTTCGGGTTTGCAGGGAGCTCCATGAACATAGCCTTTCTTTTGTTGGGGTTCTGCCTTGATCCTTTTTTTGTTTTTTTTTGAAATATTTTTCCCAAAATACTCGCGGTGGGATGGCACTTGAGGGGGTGATAAGAGCATCCTCCTAAAGTGGTCCTTTAGTCGGAGGCTTCATCTATTGGTGGGGAGCATCACCTGCTGGAAACCGGATCCAGCGTCCCATAAATCATGTTGAAAACACACAAAATTGAACACAGATGATCATGGAATCCATGCGTTTGTCTCTGTCTGTTGCTGTATTAGATAGACAAACGATATGAATAACTCTTCTATCAGCCAGATATGCCTGCCAACGCAGATGTGCGAAGGCCCGCAATTGAAAAAGAGCATTGTGAGAGGCCTTGCTCATGTTCCTTTTATTATTGACTTATTTAGGTAGGTTATCATGTCACACACCCCCACTTCAGACCGGATGTCCAGACCAGGACATAATGTCTCTTTTTTCTTCCCCAGGACACCAGACGACTTAGTTTAAACAAAAGCTGTCAAGAAAAGTTGATGTATTTTCCTGAGTTTTTGTCTTTTACGGTCTTACCTCCTATCTTATCACGGATTTGGAGGCGACCCTCGGCCAAAAGTTGTCTGTACTCGAATCCTTTACGATATAGCCTTTTCTTCAGGCTTTTTTTTCTTTTTTCTTTTCTATGGTTACAACCTGGTCTTCTTTTGTGCCGGGCCACAATGAACACTTGCTTTAGCAGGTCAATGCACGACTCTACCTCTTGCCTTAGTGATTTCTATGCTTGTTCTCCTCGTCTATAACCTGTGATGTCAATGTTGTAATGATTTGTACGGCCACTCTTTTTTGTCTGTAGACTGTCAAGTCTGAAGTCCTTGCTTTAGGGAGTGCTACTCTCTCTCTCTCTCTCTCTCTCTCTCTCTCTCTCTCTCTCTCTCTCTCTCTC